TTTGATTATGGGTCAGTAAACAACATGGCATGGAGTATGTGTCCAGAAACTCCTGCTAAAAATAATAATTAAAAAAAAAAAAAAGTATTTTAAAACTACCAGGAGAACCAAACTTAAGAAATAGCGTTTGACTACGACGACTATAAATCGCACAAAATACTAACATGCAAGTGGCACTCCCAGGCCCCATGGAAAAAAATAAAAAATAAAATTAAACTTAAAGAAACACTTAGCAGAACTCTATATTGCTGCTTTGTATACAAAATAAAATAAAATAAAATAGAGGTCCTAGGCGTTGCCATGTTAGCCATTTTATGATTTTCTTTCAGAGTGGCGGTTGGCATTTCTTTGTCCTGCACATTTAGGAGACTTAGCTGTACATTGTTACTTGGTGTCATAGTAGAATTTACGGGAAATTTTAAGTGCTATAGTCACATTTGGCTGACTTTAAAATAGCAGAAGGATCCTATTATACTGTTCTTTGACCCTATTATATTTACGTTACTGGACTCTTTGTGATAGCCGCTAACTGCTCTCCGACTGTATCCTCTTGGAGGAAAAATATGCACAGCAATATTTAAAAGCAAGGTATGGGGTTAGAAAACAAGTTCTCATTCGAAATATATATTTCTGCCCAGCGTCGTGAAAAGGAAAAGGTTTATTTAATGCTTGTCAATACCTGAAGACATGGTCCAGCACTTAACAAATAATAATAAATAATAATAATACTCTAATAATGTGGCAATCCTAGTGTGAAAATGCACATGACCCCTTAGGTTTTCCTGAAGACTTTCAAAAGAATTCCCCCCATTAGTGCAACTGCTGGTGGACATCGCTGTTGCATTTCCCAGCTAAACGTTTAAAAGACTGTAAATGGTGTGTGCATTACTTCATTGCGGAGGGAAGAGGTCAGCCTGAATTGCACCGGTATTTAAACATCATCATGCTATGAAAATAAATCAAAACATCGCGTAAAAGGAGCATTTTAAAGGTTTCAGACATTTTCTTTCTGGAACGGTGTGCTTAAACGCTTCCCCGCGAGCAAATATATTTAAACGCAAGTTTACAAAAATGAAACTATACGATTGGTAATAAATGGGAATAGGACTACGGTGAGGTATTAGGAATATTATTTTTTTCCCCCTCTTTCTTTTCTAAAGAGGTTTCTCCTCCGGCCAGACAGCTCCAAAGCCGAAGTGCTCTTGCTGCGGGGTGCGGAGAGCGGATCGCACGCTACTCAACGTGAAAAGGAGCGCGTTTGATTGATGGTGGCTCCGTGTGCGCGCCCCTGCACACACAACTCCGCGCAGTTGTGCGCACGTACGTGTGCCTGGCGCGAACGGGCATCTCTGGGCGCCCTTATCTGAAGAAATGTGAGACAAATGGCCATGCCTTTAATCATGTCCATCTTGGATCGCGAGCGAGGGGCATCCAGTCCACAAAATTAACAAAGAAACTGCCCTGCTTTCGAGAGATCCCTCCGTATCCATCTGGATCCGCACACACATGCACGACATCCACACAGACACACAAACACACAGACGTCCACGCAGGCCCCGAGACAGTAAATTATTGCATAACTTTTCGTGTAATTGATACCAGACACCTTTAATTTTTCAGCTTAATTCTCCCGGCCAGCTTTCGCAGTCCCAGCCCAAGCCATAAACGTTGGGAGCTATTGATCGCAGTCCCCTGTGTGCGTGCAAATCCATTTGAAAGTCCCCTGCCTTTAATGTGCGTGTGCAAGGGGCCTCCTCGGGCTCCCCTTGGCAGGATCTCCCCCCGGCGCGCTCGAAGACGACCCCGGATATACAACGTGCGCCGATGGCCACGAGAAAAAGCCGCCTCTTTCATTTTGCACCAAAAAAAAAAAAAAAAAATTAGCAATGGGGAAGTAGAGAAATGGAGGTCTCCGTGTGAGACACGCGCCCCAAAGTGTGTGCGTGTGAGTATATGGGGCTGCGTGTCGCATTTCCTCGGACTTCTGGTGCTTTTCTGCCTTTCGGCGGTTGCCTCCGCTGGCCCCACGAGCTAATGGCTGCACCTTTCTGCAAATCGAGGTCTGCCCCTCAGCCGCCGCCACTTTGGGGCGTTCGGTGGCGGCGGAATTAAGCCAGCAAACACTGAAAAACGCGCATTTTTTAAATAGTTGCCGCATCCCCCTGGCAGGCTGTCACCGGCGGCGGGAGCGCGAGCGCGGCTGAGTGTGCGCGAGCCCGCGCGTGGAACCAAACCCGACCCAAGTACCTGGCAGATAAAGGACTTTTCTGCCTTTTTTTTTTTTTTTTTTTTTTTTTTTTTTTTTTTTTTTTTTTTTTTTTTTTTTTTTTTTTTTTTTTTTTTTTTTTTCTCTTGGTAACGTCTTCCCCAAAGCTTTCCCGGAGTTTACTGTTCCTTTACTGTTGACTCCATAGCCTTAACCTTAAAGCAGGGGGAGGAGAGCAGCGGGGAGGGGGTGGGGGTGTTGGCAGCATATAAGTGCATCAGGAGGAATTTTTAAACGACCTTATTGTCTCTAGCGCTTAGAAAGACCTCGGCGATCGCTTTTTTAGCGCGAGCAGCTGTTTTCTCTCGCAACTTCACTCGCGGTTCGGGCGCATGACACCATGGCCCCCGCTCAGGCGAGTGCCCGCGCGTAGCCGCTCCGCACCGCGCGGCCGCTGCGCGCCCCTCCGCGCAGCTCCGCGCCGCGCCTTTGTTCCGCGCCGCGGCCGGGGGCGGCGGCAGCGCCACAAACGCGCTCTTATTTTCTTTTATTTCCACCCCCCACTCGAGGCACAAGCCGTGTTTCCCACCCCCCCCCACTCGAGGCTCGCATGGCGAGGCTCTCCCGCGGGGCGAGCGCGGCGCTCCGCGCCCCGCGCACGCACGGATTGAGTTGAGCAGCGGCGACCGCATCTGCGCGCAGAGCAACAGTCGGCCGGGGCTGACTTTTCCAATCTCAGCCCTGCGAGTTGGAGGCTCTCGTGAATAGACTTCCTCAATTTCCGGATGCACTTCTTGCAATTCCCCCTTCTCTCTAGAATTCCTACGAAATTGGGGGCTCGCATGCGGCTCGCCTTGGCATGCGGCGCTGCATTTTTAAGGCGTGATTATGTTATTTATTTTAGCTCTACCTGACGGGGTAACACGAACTCCACGCACCATATTGCCAATACATGGAGTGGATATTGACATCTGGGGCCGAAGATTTTTTTTTTTTCTTCTTCCTTTCCTTCCATTTTTGCTCAGTCCCAGAAATATGAGATGTCTCATTAATCTCACGGATATGTCTAATTCTGGATGGGCAGCGATACCTTAAGGTGATCATGTTTGTATCCAGTTGAACACTAGATGTACGGCAGCGATTGGCGATTTATATTTTTTTTTTCCAGCGAGCGCCCAACGTGCAAACCGCAAGCATCATTTTAATGTGACAAGGAAGAGGCATGCAGCTCTTGCAACATTTTCGAAATCATCGTTCCTGACACCCAGATAATTTAACGTTTCTCAGAAGAGGTTAGACCTTCGTGCTGCTTCTTCAAATTGATTTTAAGGGACTGATATAAATGGAACATCAGCGAGCCACGGAGGGGCTGCTCCAAGCTGCATATGCAAACTGCAAGCCAGAAGCATCATCCTAGCCCCTTGCAATACTGTACATTGTGTGTGCCAGCACTTTTTTGTTATTACGTAAAGCCTCTTGGAAGCACCTTGGATATTTTGCATTCTCCTTTCTCTGCTGGAAGCAATCAGCACGCAGGAATCCTGACGTGGGCTCTGGGACTATAGGACATTCCAGCTCGTGATCCAGCACGGTTAATTGTGAAAAGTGTATACATTTCTGCCTTATCTATGCTTTGTTATGGGTCTGACGTGAGCCCACGTCCTCCTCGCCCCTCCCGCAATATTACAGGCAGAATTTCAGCTAAAAGTGTTACAGTATCGCGGTGCAGGAACCCGTGATATCCAGGCAGCAAAATAACCCCAGTCAGCGACTGTAAAAAGCTAATTAAACAGAAGAGGAAAATCAAGAGAAACTCGAAAAAAATGTAAGTATTGCCTTCTCGTTAACAGCCGAGCGTTTAACTTTGGAGCCTCTGAAAGGGAAATACCAGGCTATTCTGCACGTTTTCGCTAAGCTGCATTTTCCACACAATGCAGAATAAAGTCCTCGTCTAAAGCGGTTACGTTACCGAAGAATTTTCCGTCGTTATGATCATGCTTATGTCCTTTAAATTCACGGCATGCACAAAAGAGCGACATTTGTCCAAAATAGCCTAAAAATAACACGAGACGAGAGGGGGGGAAAAGCATAAAAATCCTCCATCTGAAGCCAGCGACGAGGAAGTCWGAGCGGTCTGAGTGCATTTGAGCTCAGATTGTTTAATAGAAAGATTTATATACTAACTGTATTATTTACTTTGAGAGGGGAGGTGGCAGTATAAGGGTATGCTAATTAGTGGGAGATTTTTTGGGGGAAGGGGTGGAATATCAATTTTTATTGCATCACCTGTCAGGAGTGTCCAATCAGCGTTGGCTTTAGGGGAATTAATTGATGAAGGTGTCTCCGGACGAGCTCACTTCACTCTGTCATTTTATTTGTAGCTAAAGCAGCGGCGGGAATAGCAGCTGCATTTCTTTTCTCTTCCTCCCTTCACATTCCATTATCATAGTTTCCAATGGAAAAGCAGGGAATGAAAGGGAACAGGTACTGATCTTCTGCAGCAACTTAGAGAAACACTTTGGCAAAGCTGATTTTTAAGATATATATTGATTGTAGCCTCACGGTATTTTTTAAATTATTTTTATTTTTTTAAATTTTGTCTAAAGTTTGGCAATCCATTCACCAGGAATAACAGCCTTTGTTATATTTTATTAGCAGGATGCCTTGAGACAAATACAGCATCTGGCTGAGGATTGTGTGTGTGTGGCTTTTTCCTTTTTTTTTTTTTTTTTTCTTCATTTTTTTTTCTTCCCTCTCTCTGTCTGCAAATGCTGGGAATAATTTAATTCACGAAATGGGAGACCTGAAGTCGGGTTTTGAAGAGGTGGATGGCGTGAGGCTCGGCTACCTCATCATTAAAGGAAAGCAAATGTTTGCACTCTCCCAGGTTTTTACCGACCTGCTCAAAAACATCCCGAGAACTACCGTGCACAAGCGAATGGATCATTTAAAAGTAAAAAAGCATCACTGCGACCTGGAGGAGTTGAGGAAACTCAAAGCCATCAACTCCATCGCCTTCCACGCCGCCAAATGCACGCTCATCTCCAGAGAGGACGTGGAAGCGCTGTACACCTCCTGCAAAACCGAGCGGGTGCTCAAGACCAAGCGGCGGAAGATCGGCCGGGCGCTGGCGGCGAGCGAGCTGCGGCCGGAGCGCGCGCCCGCCGACCCCTTCCGCGGCTTTTGGAAGGAGCACAAACTTTGGCTGGGTTTGAATGACTCTCCGCGGGCCCTGCTGCCAATCAGGAGGAAAGCGTGGCGGCCGGGGGCCGCGGCCCTGCTGCCGGCCTCTCATCTACCTCACATTTTTAGTAAATACACTGGCCGCGGCTACGCGGAGCCCGCGCGGGCGCCGCGCAAACCCCCCGCCGACTATGAGACGGCGCCCGCGGGGGG